TTAGGTTCAGGCATTTAAGTGTTCCCACTGGGATTTGTAACAAGGTCCTACCCCAGGTGTGTCCGTAATGCCTCTGGAGCACACTCTTAGCCCTTATCCTCTCTGCTTTCTTTGGACAATCTCCCCTTCAGCTCTCCTGCCATACCTTGGTGTTATTATGTCTTTAGAAAAGAAGGCTGCTCCAGGGCTCTCCAAGTAAGATCTCACTTATGAGTGCCAGCATCACTACTCATTTACCTTAGCGGCTAATCACAGCCTCTGAACCTGCTCTACAGCTGTGCCCTATGCCTTGCAGGTGTCTCCAATCATTACTTTAGTGGGCACTTTGCCCAACTACCAGGCCACCTCAGGCCTCCTCTACCTAGCTGGGGCTTTGGCCTTCCCAGCCTCCATCCTTCTGCTCTAGCTAGTCCCTTTAGGCCAGCCCCACTAAACTGGGACTGGTTCCTTGGGCTCCCACCCTTGTCTCACCCTCTTTGCCTCTCCTGGGCTGTGGGCCCCCAGCCCTTATCTCAACTCCTCTCCAGGCTGTGGGTTCTTTAGCCCTGTTTCTGCTGCCCCTCCCAGACTGTTGGTCCCCTGACCCCAAGCTCTTCCCCTCTCTGGGTGTGGGCTCTCTAGCCCTGTATCTGCCCCTCTTGGGCAACAGTGGGCTTCCTGGTCCCTATCTGTGCCTCGAGCCTGACCCTGGCAGGGTTCAAGTCAGTCACATGCCCCTTGGGCATGCATGGGACCTCTGAACCACCCCTTTCTAGTCCCAACTAAACTGCCGGAAGCATGCAGGGTCTTGCTGGCATTGTCAGACAGTCCAGGAGTCAGCAGAGCCTCCCACTGCCACTTTCCAGGGCAGGAGCTCTCCGCTCTGTGGCTAGCATGGTCAGACTGGTTGCCTGCTCTCAGGCCCAGGCTTTATGAGCAGGGATCTGGGGTTTCCATTTCCCACAGGAAAACGGAGTATACCACGGATATTTCACTTTACTGGAGGCAAACGCCAATTTCTCATTTTACTGGAGACACCCACAGATTTTGCAGTTTTGCAATGGGCTCTCTGCAGGCTGGCAGACCCTGTGCCGCTGCCCTCACTGCAGCCACACACACACGGGGCACGTCACCAGGGCAGTCCAGGGCTCACAGTGACAAGCAGCTTCTTGCGTGGCCCTGCTATTCCCTGCCATGCTGGGTTGCACCTGCTGGGCTGCGGGGGCCCTAGGGGAGGGCAGCAGGGTGGAAGCCTATCCCACAGCCTGTGTGCGACCCCCCCCTGCCCTGCCCCGTGCACAGATCTGGGGGGCATGGGTCCTCCTTGCCCCCTGGGAGTGCATGCAGTGCCAAGGAGCTGTCCCCCCCCCAAGCATACAGCTCACCTCACTTAGATCTGGGGGACACAAGCCCCCCCTGGCCCTTGGGGAGTGTGTGCAGCAGTGGGGAGCCAGCTTCCTTTGCCTGAGCCCACAGCAGGCAGGCAGCAGGGGGGAGCCAAGCCCAGCTTTGCTGCAGCAGCCTCAGCTTCCTGCCAGGGGCAGGGGGCTGTGGACCTGGGACCCTGGCAGCTGGGGGCCCCCTATGGCAGAGCTGGGGGGGACAAGGGGTTGTGTGGGGGATGGGGGTGAGGAGCACCAGCAGGGCTGTGGGGAGCCTTTTATTTTAATCATGGATTTGGGGATTTTTATCAGAGAATTTGCAGTTTTTTTCAGAGAATTTGTAAGTTTTTATCAGGGAAAACCAGGATCCCTGTTTCTGAGTCTCCTAAGCCCCATCCCATCCAGTCGTGTGGCTCCGTGAGCACCCGCAGGAGTTTCCCATCTGTGCCTGATGACCTGCCTGCCCTCCCTGCTAGAACTGAGCTCTTCTGTCCGCTGCTCCTTGTTTCTGGGCTGAGTCCCTAACTACCCTCGCTGCATTTTACTGCTCTGCCTCCCTCCCCAGGGTGAGTTGCAGGGACAGGCTAGCTATGGGAAGGTGTCTTGCACCCTGGTCTGTCTGCTGGTGGCCATTTCATTAGCAGTTAGCTAATTTCCTAGCTACCAGGCCTCCTTGGTTCAGCTCAGCCTGGTACTCTTTCCTCCTAAAGTAACAGGAGCCTTCCAGCATCCTGTTACAGGATGCATGAATGTGTTCACATAAAGTTAAGCACATGTATCATTGTTTCCCAGGTTGTGTTCTTATACTGCAAACTCTTTAGGCAGGGAGACTGAGTCTACCTTTGTTTGTGTAATACCTGGGACAAAGGGACTTTGATCCAGATGCTGATCTTTGAGCTCTTACTGTAATTCAAACAGTAAATAATAATAATCCAAGCTAACGTTTTATTAGATTAAAAAAAAATAGAGTGAGCAGAGTTAATTTTAGCAATCCTATGCTCATCTGCAGCCAGCGATGAAAAAGGTAAGAGGGGCCTTATCTGGTGTATTTGTAGCCCAAGTGAGAGTAGGAGGCACCAGAAGTCTTCTGACAGTCTGTTGTTATACTATTCCAGGTCCAGAGAGAGTCGGATGTGGCTCGTTAATGATTCTTACACATTTCTAAGCTCCTGGAGGCTAACTCAAAGTGGATGTGTGAGGCTCACTGCTTGCTGGTAAAGCTAGGGGGAAGCCCACTTTTCTCTTGGGCACCCCATTTCATTAGACTGTTTGAAGGGCTCCTTCTCATGCCTCTCCTTCCCTATGCAGACTTTCAGCAAGACCTTGCATGACACTCTAGGGCTTGCCCAAAAGTCTCTGCAAGGCTTCAGATTTAAGTTCAAACAAAGCAAAACAACAACAAACAATACATTAACACATCTGGAAATTTAGTTGCCAACTGTCCCAGTATCCCAGTTGCCAGAATAGTCTAACCAGTTCTGAGACAAAACATGTGCCCACAACAGATGGGCCTCACGCAGGCTGGCTCTTCCCAGAATCATACATCTTTGTGTGAATTGTTATTTGTGACTCACTGGAGGGCTGGATGGAGGAAAGAGGGACTTTTCTTCTTCAGGTGTCTTTCTGTAAAATTCTGCTTTTCCTTCCCCTAAGGAGCATGGCAGGGGTGGGACAACCCCAGCAAGGTGGCTGTATCAATAGAAGATACTTTTCTTTTTTTAGATATTGCTTTGAGCCAGAAGAAAGTGCCTGGGTTCCTTTAAGTAGCGTGAAGGGAGGTTTTTTTGATCCAGGCCCTTTAGATGAGAGAAAGATGTGCGTCTCTTCTCTAGCTCAAGAGACAGAAGGGAGAGTCATCTTCTTCTGCATACTTGGTTTCAATCTCTTCCTTTGTCCCCTGCCACACGAGAAATCAGGTCAGGCTGAGAACTGATAGCAGGTGCTATTTAGATAACGAGAAGTGAGCAATGGAGGTGTTTGGAAGACTTTATTTCATCTGAACCAGATGAAGTCCAGAGTCTCTTGTTCTATGGGATGTTTCTTGATTTGGAGGCCTGGTTTGGAAAAGCTTCAAAAGCTTTCCAGGAATGAATCGCATCTTGCAATTAGGAATGGGAAGAAAGCAGGAGCCAAGTTGTGCCTTCTGTTTCCCTTGGAAAAAGGACACCTAGAGCACAGTTGCGTCCTATGGTTCTGAATCTGTGTGTACTACCAAAGCTCCTCTAAGAGTGTGTAAGGAATACATTGAATGGGTAATATGCTATTGGGATGAAATATGGCCCTAATTAGAAACAATACTGTTGTAATTTTATATAGCTGCTCTCATCCTAGGAACTCCAAGGCTTTCCAGAGAGCTTTCCCTTCCCTTCTGTATTTTCTTCATTATGTAGATGGGGCAACCAGACCCATAGAGATGCCAAGGTCACCTGCAGGGTCAGGATAGATCCCAAAGCACCTTCCTTCATGCTAAAGGTGGCACCCATGAGTCCGATTCTCTATAGCCCTACCCGATGGAGCCATTTACATCAGATCATAACAATAGCACTTTTAAACTCACTCTCCAAGGATGTAACAAGCCCATCGGTTTCAGAGCAGTGGAAATGGAGACTTCCTGCCTATTCTAATATGGCCTCTCGTCCCCATGCAGAAGTCATGGAGCCAGAGAGAAAACAAGAAAGGAGGAGCCTGACTCTATAGCTTAGGGAGGAGACCATTGCTATTCACTGAACAGCAGCCAGAGTAAGGGAGGCACCTGGCAGCAAGAAGAGAGTTCATACTCAAAATCAAATGGAGGTTGATTGTGCAGCATCATAGGCAGATCTGATGTTTCCACAGCACTCCTGTGGAAACGTGGGGGGCAGCTTAAGCCAATGGGTAGAGCCAGTCCCCTATTAGAAGATCTAGATGCTATTCTGAGCTCTGCTGCTGGACCTCCATGTATTCTTGAGCAAGTCCTGTACCTTCCCAGTGCCTCTCTTCCCTTTGTCCATCCTGTCTGTGCAATTTGTAAGGTCTCAGGAGCAGGGACTGTCTCTATCCATTGCTACAAGCTTTAATAACAAGCAGCAATGACAGCAATGAATAGTAGTGGCAGAGACTGCTTCTGTGGGTGGTGGTATCTAGCAAGTATCCCGTTCAGACTAGACCCTCTCTTACTAATCTAACCAGAGGGAGTCTGCTTCTCATCCTCTTCCACTGCAAGGGAGAGAGTCTGTGTTTTCTATCCCATCAGACTTCACAGTCAGGCTTGTTGTTGTCCTGCGGTAATGGTTTCAAACCCTACACCTTGCTCATACCACTATAATGGGATGTTGCTACAGTGCCCGGAGCCATTGCTCTCTGTAGTATGAAGAGATGTAACCCATAACTTAAAACCCAGGGTGAAATCCTGTCTCATTTAAATCAGTGGGGGTTTTGCCTTTGATTTCAGTGAGATGCACATTTCCTCCTCAAGTGTTACCTTCCATTTGATAAGAGTGCCTGCGCTTTTCTCCTTACGGCTGTGCCAGCAATGCTCGTGTTGTCGTTTGGAAATGAACACAAGCTTCGTTCTTCTAACGACAGACCAAGGAGAAGAGAGTGGGTGTTTGATGAAGCGAGAGCAAAGTTTGTAAACCAAGGTCCTGTTTGGTCTTTCAGGAAGCAGAGATCCTGAATACGGCAATCCTCACTGGGAAAACCGTGGCCGTCCCTGTGAAGGTGGTCTCTGTGGAGGACGACGGGACTGTGACTGATCTTGTAGAGTCTGTGGAGTGCAGGTCATCTGATGAAGATGTGATTAAGGTAAGATCCTACTGCTTAACTGGAGAGGGACTTGTCCCTGCAGTAACATATTGCTAGCTGTGTCTTCCGGCCTTTCATGTTTATCCAGTGCGGTTACTATCCTTTTGCTAAACCCCCCGCCCTCAAAATTTACTATATGACTGAGGAGTGGTGCACTGGATCAAGTGGCAAAACCAAAATCTCCCCCTTTTGCATTTCAGGGCTCTTTTGTCGCAAATCAATCAGTCAACCTTTGCTTATTTTCCTGGTGTCTGTGATTATGAGAAAATGGCACACATTCAAGAGAATGAATCAGCCCCTGGGGGGTGGCTCTGTGCAGCTGGTCTTCCACTTCTGTCTTGGAAGAGGGGACACTTGACTCAAACCTCAGTCTAGGCACTCAATCAAGGGGAATGCGTTGCCCTGCTGTACAACACTTTGATAGCTCAAGCCACTCTTGAAAGATCAATGACTGCACAGTTCTTTACGGCTTTGATTTAGAGTGCCTTCCTGCTTAGCCGGCTGTGAGCAAAGCTTTGCCCGCTCTCTTTTTGGTTTCCCAGGTTAAAAGCGAGGGGGAGTAGTGTTAACCCTCAGACTGAATTCAGAGCCAGTGTGGACAGTAGTGTCAGCTGCATTTCAACAAACAGGTGCAAGGTCACTCTGAGCTGTGCAGTGGCAGGGACATTGCAATGCTGGGTTCAAACCTATTTTTTGTCCCTCTGAGTTTGGGGTTAGGCCAGACCTTCAGGACATTTTGGTGCTTCTTGAAAGCTGCTTTAAACTCAAGCAGCTCCTGACAGGCCTGACTGCCAGTCGATAAGAGGCCAGAGACTGACGGAGGGCAGGCCTGTGCCAACCATGTCCTGAATTGTCTTACTCCTTTTCTGTTTTCACTTGCTCAGCCTGCTAGTGCCAGGGCTGACGGTATCAAGAGAAAAGTTTCAGATCTGAGTTTCGATGAGTTGCGAAATATGGGAATGTTTGGGATTCAGACCTGCTATATTTTTTACCTCCTATTTTCCTATACTTTAAACAGTATGGGACATCTTGCTAAAGTCATGGAAGATGCTTTCTAAATGACTAAGTTGGCCCAGGTTAGCCCACAAAGATTTTTTTCCCCCATAGGGCATACAGGTTGCAATGGCACATGAATCAGAGAGGATGGTGTACTGGTAGAGTGTTATAGATGTCACCATTAGCATGCACTAGAGTAAAATGGCCATTTGTTTTTTTCAGTGTAGAGTACCGCAATGATTATGAATAAGAGCTTGTAAGAAATTCTGTAAGCTTCAGCTTCAATTTGTGTTACTGAGTGTTAAAAGACAGTAACAGACAGCGATAGTGATGGAGAGGTGGTGTGATGGGTGCAGGGAACTCCTGCTTGATGAAAGAAATGCAGGCTTATCTGGTGTGGTCATTATCTTCTAACACACTCGTGGGCGGCCGTCACTAAAAGACAGTCCTCTCCAGAGGAGAAAATGAGAGACATCGCCAGAAGCATGAGTTAAAACTAGAGCCGCTGAAAGAAAATGTGTTGTGAATATAAAAGGAGGTTTATCATTTTGGTTGTGTTCTTTTAACCAACGAGAACTAGTCTGATGGCCAACAGGCTTTCAGTAGCATAGCACACCCCTTCAACTATCATTCAAACTCATCCCTTGGATTTTAGTGACCTTTTACCGACCAGTTTAAGCCAACATCAGAAGGCAGTGTTTAGTTGCAGATCTACCCTCTATCTCCATAGAGTGGCCCCATTGGCTGAAATACGTCTTTCCTAAAGAGCTGCATTTATTTTCTGTGCTAGCGCTATATGGCCAGCAACTGGAGGCTTGCTTAGTATTCTGTGATGTATTCTTTTAAAACCAAAGCAGGAACATGAACATTACTGTCAGAGGAGCAGACTGCTGAGAGGTTGTAGTTTACATCTAAGTTAAGTTACTTAACACCGTAGGGAATTACCAGTAATGGAGATGCACAGAGTACAAGATGGTGAAAAGTGACCTTTTGCGAGCTGCATCTAGGTATATATTTTTTTCCCATGTTTCTTGTCAGGCAATTGTAACATTTTTACCCATTCTGTTTGTTTGAGGCCGCTTCATCTTCGCAGTAATTCCCTGTATGCAGGATGAATCCAAGTAATTTGGAAGTCCAGCCTGTTTTATCTTTCTTTTTTTCTTTTTTTTTTTTAATCTACATGGGATATACATTTATCTGAATACTTACAAATCCAGGCACCTTTCTGGTGGCTTCTGATTAAACATACTCCTCTGGCCACCTTAATGCATCCAGTTCTTTTGCTTCTAGGAGTCCATATGAGTCTGGTACATCTGCTCAATGTAGATTTTAAAAAGAAGAGTAGACATGACACAGATTCATTATCGTCTGGGGTACCTCGGGGTCATAATTGACCATATGAATATGAGCCACTAGTGTGATGCTATAGTTAGCGGAGTCTGGTACATCTGCTCAATGTAGATTTGAAAATAAAGAGTAGAAATGATACAGATTCATTATCATCTGGGGTACCTGGGGGGCATGACTCACCATATGAATTAGCCTCCGGTGTGATGCTACAGTTAGAAGAGCAAACAATACGCTGGCATGCCTCAACCAATGCATCTCAAGCAAAACTAAGGAAATTATTCTCCCACTCTACCCGCCACGCTTCAAGAAGGATGTGGAGAAGCTTGAGAGAGTCCAGAGAAGAGCCACTTGTATGATGAGAGGCCTGAAGAGCAAGGCATACGAGGACAGGCTGACAGATATGGGACTGTTCAGCCTAGAAAAGAGAAGACTTCAGGGGAATTTGGTGGCAGCTTACAAATATATCAGGGGCTAGGCGAACATCTATTCACCAAAGCGCCCCAGGGCAAAACCAGGAGCAACAGTCATAAACTCATAGAAGAAGGTTTCACACTGGATATAAGGAAAAACTTCTTCACGGTTCATGTGACCAGACTTGGGACTAGACTCCCAGTGGGGGTGGTGCAGGCACCTACCCTGGAGATCTTCAAAAGGAGACTGGTTGCACGCCGTGCTGGCATTATTTGACCCCAGAAGTCTTTCCTGCCCAGAGCAGGGGGGCTGGACCCGATGATCTCACGAGGTCCCTTCCAGCCCTGCACGTCTGAATCTGAACCATACATTGTGGAGAGAAGTCTAATCCTTGACTGCTGTAAATAAAATTAATAGACCAGCATTTTATACAGCAGCTGAGGATCTGACCTCTTTTCCTCTATCAGCTAAAATGTATTAAGAATGTGTTTGTACAGGAAGCGGTTAATAAGGTGGTTTGTGATGTAGGTGGGTAGGAAGACTTCATCTCACGTAAGCTATTAAAAATTAGACTGAACAATAAAAAGCACAATAAACAAAGATTTCTGTTAAAAAAACAGCTGTGTCCTAACATTTCCCATTGTTTAAGATGGGGACAGAGGCTTAACTGGCCAAGACAGTGTCCGGGCCCGTCCCCCACCTTCCACCTTACCTCTGGACCTTCATTCAGGCCTCTGGCTCTGGCAGCAGGCAGCTCCGAGCCACCTGTAGGGTTGCCTGCTGCTCAGGAAGAGATGTTACATCATTTTTTTTGCTGTAGATGCCTATATTGAAGGGGTAAAACTACTCCAGGTCTTGGTGGCAAAAAATGGGGTGCCTGCTGCCACCTGACAGTACTAAAGTCCCCACAATGCTCCTCACTCACTGATGCACCACCACTGATTGGAGCTGGAAAGGGCAGCAGGGGATGGAAGGGAGAAGCCCCCACTCCATTTGACACCCCTTTCTTAGGCAGTGCCCAGGGCATGTGCCCCTCACCCACCCATCCTTATACTACTGGATGGGGAGCAAATGCAATATCCTAGCAAACAGTTCTGCATTGGCAAAGGAGTTAAATAAAAAGACTTACTAGGTCCTTTCCCTCTATACTTTCCATGCACATTTGAATCCTTCTATGTTAGGGGCTGCTCTAGTAATGTCTGGACAGTGCAAAAGGATGCCTTGAGATTAGCATTGCCTCTAAAAAATGTGTGCATTTATCCATGGGTGCAAGTGACTAGGACACACCCCTCCCATCCTCCCACACACCCCACAAGTGCGACACACCCACACCACAGTGTTGCCTGCCTGCGTTGACTGCAGAAGAGGACAGTGTGTTCCAGAGCCACACACCCACACCCCACAAATGCCACACAACCCCCCAACATACCCTATGCCCCTCCACACACAGCCATACCCCTCACAAACTCTCCCCACACCCCATCATACACACGCTCACCACACGCCCTCACCCTTTCCAACCCACACCCCCACCATACACACACACACACATACACACACACACACCCATCCCCCACCATACACCCTCCACCATACACATACACACACCCCACTGTACACCCCCCACCATACACACATGCCCCTACTGTGCATCCCCACCAAACACCCACCACCATACACCCACCCCACCCACACCACACC